ACTCCCTGCCATGGTTCAGTACTCCTTCAGTATGTCGATGACTTACTGTTGTGTAGTCCTAGCTGGGAGGCGGGCGTTGTAGATTCACTTAGTTTGCTCCTACATCTTGCTGCTGAGGGTCATAAAGTTGCAAAGCACAAAATGCAGCTCTGCAAAGAAAGGGTCGATTATTTGGGGTTTGTTCTGGCTGCAGGCACCAGACAATTAAGCCCTAAACGCATTGAAGCCATTCAGAGAATGCCTAAGCCAGTTACACGAAAGGAGTTGCTCACCTTTCTCGGTATGATTAATTATTGCCACCAGTGGATTCCTCAGTGCTCCTATCATGACTCTATTTTGAGGCAAGCGGCCAAAGGCGATAGCCTGGATACTGTCTGTTGGTCCCCAGACATGACTGCATCTTACATTGTCCTCAAGGTTGCTATTGTCCAAGCCCCAGCACTAGGACTACCAGATTATTGTAAACCTTTTCATTTGTATTCGAGGGACAATTGTAAAACCATGGCCGCTGTCTGTGCACAAGAGCATGGAGGTGGTATGCGTCCCAGAGCATTCTTTTCCAAAGTAGTTCCTGTGCCGGTACAGGGGATGCCAGCATGTCTCAGAGCGCTGGCAGCATGCGCTATGGCTGTTAAGGGAGCTACTACCATCACACTAGGTCATCCCACCATCCTGCACACTACCCACCAGGTCACTCAGCTAATAAAAAAACTTAACTACCCAACATATGACAGTTCAGCGCCTTAGCGGTTATGAGATTATTCTTCTAAACACCCAGAATCTCTCAATAGTTTATAGCCCTCTTACCTCAGGCCCCCTAGCTATCTTACATGCTATTCTCACCTCTGGCTCCACGGACTCTCCCCTTCCCACAAAACCACATGATTGTATCACACCTCTCCACTCCACTCAGTGGATCTGATGTTTCCACTGTTTTTGTTGATGGTTCCTGTTCCCGCCCTAGCAATGGAGAATATCTCACAGGTTATGCTGTAGTTCAGTTATCCTTGAATCCTCAACGATCCCTCACCAATCATCCCAAGCTGCGGAATTAGTAGCTCTAACTCATGCCTGTCAGTTGTTTACTGGCAAACTTTTAAAGGACCACTATAGGCACCCAGATCACTTCAGCTTAATGAAGTGGTCTGTGTGTCAGGTCTATCTAGGTTTCAGAGAAACTGCTATGTTTTCCTATGGGTTAATCCAGCCTCTAGTGGCTGTCTCATTGACAGCCGCTAGAGGCGCTTTCACAGTGAGAAGACACCAGCGTCCATAGGAAAGCATTGAGAATGCTTTCCTATGGACTGGCTGAATGCGCGCGCGGCGACATAAGAAAAGGGAGGTGTGTCCCAGTGCCGTGGGGGCACCCTCAGGGCACTATAGTGCCAGGAAAACGAGTTTGTTTTCCTGGCACTATAGTGGTCCTTTAATATCTATACTGATTCCAGATATGCACACGGAGTACATGATTTTGGTGTAATTTGGAAATAGAGAGGTTTTGTCAGTGCTGATGGGAAAGCAATTTCTCATACCTCCCTCATTACTTCTCTTTTGGATGCTATCCAGCTCCCTTTAGAAGTGGCTATCATTCATTGCAGAGCACATACACAGGGACAAGAGGAAGTATCTGAAGAAAATGCACTAGCTGACAGGGCAGCAAAGAACTCCTCAGAGATGTTATTCTCTCATTTACAAGATTTTGCTACCAAACAAGATATTGCCTTTTGGCTTTCACAAGGTTTTGAGAAAGATCAATTTGATCTTTTCTCTAAAGAGGGGAAGATAGATATACCTGAGGCAAGTTCCCCCATATTTATCAGCCAAGCACACGGACCCGGACATAGGAGTATAACTAACACTATACAATTCCTTATGGATTATTTTTACATCCTCAATTTAAAAGATCATGTATGCAAATTTATACAGCTGTGTGAACCATGTGTTAGGGCCAATTCTTACATCCCAGGCAAACCATCCCATGATCATTTGCCCCCACCCACGGCACCATTCACACACCTGCAGGTTGACTTCACTCATATACCTAAAACAGGTCATAAACAACAAGATCTTTTGGTAATAGTAGATCAGTTTAGTCGGTGGCCTGAAGCTTTTGTCACCAATAAAGAAGATGTGAAAACTGTGGTGAAAATACGCGCTACAGAAATAATACCCAGTTATGGTTGTCCCTTACAGATTAATTTTGATAATGGACCGGCTTTTGCTAGTAAGGTAACTCAAGAACTTGATAATAGGCTACAGGTGATGTAACGGCACCCCCAGGCATAAAAGGGGTTAAAAGCCGTTTAGGAGATCTTCCCCTTCCAGAGACACAGGCACAGCTACTGCAGAACCCCAAACTCCCGAACAGGATACCAAGTAGTACTCCAAATTCCCGAACTGGAACCTCACGAATAGCTGCTAGCAGCTGAAAAGAAAAAGCACCCAAGCGGCTTACACTCTTGGCAATCAGTCTCTAACAGCATACAGTAAATCCCCCCCAAGAACGAGACAAAGCTCCGTGTTGAGGGTCAAGCAGGAACAGACAGAGCTGTGGGTTTATTGTTCTTAGATACACATTAGTACCACCCACAGGGTTTTGGAAACCAACCAATAAACACATACAATACACTCAGACACTCCCACACAAAATCCTCCCCTCTGCCTGTGATACAATTACCTTACACAATGGGTAATGTAATTATCAGCGGCAGAAAGATACAGTTTTTCCACATTATTCATAACTTTAACATAAAACATTTTCAGAATCAGCATACTCCAAATACAAACATATGTCAAAATCATCCAAATTGGTCCAGTGGTTCAAAAGATAGATCGTAGTCCTTTGTGACCAAAGGAAGCATGGCTTTTATGCCCAAAACCAGTTCCACAGAGCCTTCTATCCTGGAGATAATTGGGAAGTAATCCAATTATCTCCAAGGACAGAGGCAAAACTCCATTAAGCACATGGCAGTAAAAAGACAGTAAAATACAATAAAATATACAAGGTTACATTTATGACATAAAATACAGACATGCAACATATGCCCAGATAGCTTAGGTCTGAGCGCACATTAATACTGAATGGCACTCAGACCACACACATACAGTTCAATTGCCATGGAGCCAAAGTCTTTCCCATAGTCTTTCATTATACGAATGGACGCCATGGCATAGCTATCTGGGGTATCACCGCTCAAACAGGGCAAGCACCGAATGACCCGGCTTTCGTGTCTTTGCAGGGGAAAATCAAGTGTTTCAACATGGGGCCATAGTCTAAAGGCAGCAGGCAGGCAACCAGACTCCTCCAATGCACAGTGGTGAGATTGGTCTCATCACAGGTGACATGGAATTTTCATATACCCTATTACCCCCAGAGCTCAGGGGTAGTTGAAAGGATGAATAGGACTATCAAAGAGAAACTCATGAAGGCAACTACCGGGACATGGGTTAATTGGCAAAGGTATCTTCCAGCTATTTTAGCTGAGATATGAATGACCCCCCCATAAGGTTACCAAATTATCTCCTTTTGAGATCCTAATGGGTAGACCATTTCCTACACCATGGGCCAGGGAACCATTAGTCATTATGCCTGGTGATTTAGAGCTAATCCAGGAACATTATGTTAAGGAATTGTTGATAAAGTTGAATGGTATATATGGCAATGTTTCTTCGTAGTTCCCTTTACCTTCACAGGAACCTACCCATCCCTATCAACCTGGAGACTCGGTGTGTATCCGGCAGTTGAACAGGACAAAGAAAGGAGGCTTCCCATTCGGTCCCCCAACCACTGTCATCGCTGTGACCCGCACTGCAGTCCTAACCGACTCCCAAGATCTGTGGATTTATGCATCACGAGTAAAACCGTGTCCAAAGAGGGAGCCAAGACCTGACTGGAGCATCTAGAACCAGTTGTACCTGAACCACCTGCTGTTCTTCTGTGTGACAAAGCATGGCTCAAATAATTAGAAAAAGACAAAGTGGCCACCTCATAAAAAGCAAAATCATGATTTTGGCAGTCATCACCTTTATCTTTATATTGCCTTTTACTATCTATCTGGATTGCCATTATGAATACGAAAATTTAGGCAATCTGAAACTAGTGTGCTTTTGGAAACATAATGGGTCTCTTCAGGAGACCAAAGAAACAATGGACAATTCTTCATTATCCTCCGGAGCCCAATTAGGCCTTAATTTTTCATCTAGTATAAGACACCCCAGATACTGAATGCTCATCTGAAGATCCACACAAGTATCAAATTGAACTGAACAGTAAGGGGAAGGCTGTGGCTACTTGGGTAATATATATATATATCGGGTTATCTTTGCACATATACCAGAAAACCATATACACAACAGTTGAGATGTTCACAGGAGGGAATTGTGCCATAGAAATAACCAGTAATACTAATGATAGGTCTTTGTATTCATATCTGTCCCAGTCATGGGAACATACTTTCCCAATAGATACAGGAGACCTCATATTACTAAAAAGGAAGATTGGGAATAATACACATAAAAAAAAACAAAAAAAGAATATACATGCTGAAGTTCCCAGTGCAGTTCTTAACAATTCCCATGCACCCACTAGCCAGCGTAACAACACTGTTCTACTCATATGGCCTGAAGGCACTATCCTGATTTTTAGTACTAAAGGACCATGGATATTTTACTGTGACCTCATTCCTACAACCACCAAGGATCTAGTTATTACTATCCCTGGTAATTCCTCCCCAGGAGATGCCCATACTCCCCTAGGATACTTACAAAATAGTTTTGCTACTGACAACCCAGTACAGTCTATGTCACTAAACCCTACTACAGGTTATAGTCTTAGACCAACCACTACACTCCCTTATACACGTCATCCTAAGGTAAAAAGGTCTTTACCCCCTATTAGTGATGTCCCGAACGGTTCGCCGAATGGTTCGCGAACGGTTCGCCACGAATGGTTCGCAGTGGACTCATCAGTGAGTAAACTTTGACCCAGTACCTCACAGTCAGCAGACACATTCCAGCCAATCAGCAGCAGACCCTCCCTCCCAGACCCTCCCACCTCCTGGACAGCTCACTAAGAATGCAGCTTCACAATGAATGTAAAATGGATGCTGTCCAGGAGGTGGGAGGGTCTCGGAGGGAGGGTCTGCTGCTGATTGGCTGGAATGTGTCTGCTGACTGTGAGGTACAGGGTCAAAGTTTACTCAATGATGAGTCCGCGGCGAACCGTTCGCGGCGAACCGTTCGGGACATCCCTACCCCCTATACCTTAGGCCCCCCAACATAAAGTTCGATGTAATGATAGACATGAATGGAGTTGGAGCAAGATTGATAAGAATCGAACTCAAGGTAATTTTTCCTGCCCTGCTAACCAAAAGTGTCAGGTTTATAATATAACAAGAAATTCCCAGTATCAGGATGTAAAATTATGTAATATACAATCACAATGGTGCATGATTCAGAAAACCGCTGCTGGAAACTGTTCTGTTCAAATCCATAATAATACTGGGTTCTGTGCCACTGCTTTTGCTATAGATGTTGTCAGGAATTTTATTCATTTATTACTGGCCCTTTAAGACAGCATGGAAGTACACACCCCTTTGGCTATTTAAACTCCAATCTCCAACACCTCAGGGGACAATTAATGTGTTAATCTGATTGATTGCATGAACTTCCTTCCTAATCATTTGGATGACTTTTAGGGAGACCATGTGTTCCATCGGATCCCTTCTGAATCTCCTCTTCAAATAACTATAACTTGGATTGCCTGGTTAACTCATTCGGACTGGCCTTGTTTCTGCTTTTGGAATTTCCTTCAATACTGCTTAATCTCCTATTGAACTAACCCTGGACACATCACCTAAACTTCTATTTTCAAGGACTGTCAGTTTAGTTTGCTGTCACATCAGTTTGCCATGCTGAAACTGCCTCAAAATAAAAAGAGGTTTTTTTTTTTTTTTTTTTGGCATTTGTTAAAGAAAAAACATGACAGATGTTCTTTTGATGCAATCTACCTTTTGGGATATATGGCAAACTTGGTATAGGGCCAATAATAAGACAGCTAATAATGCACGTAATGATGCCAGTTTAATTCAAGGATTCAATGACAATTACACCGTAACTTGGCAAGAAGGACAGATGCTACTGCTCACCAGCAATTCTATTATTAGTAATATGCATCTAGTTTCCCTTCCCTATATGATTGTCCAGTGTCTGTGCCGGCAAATACAAAAAAAATCAGTCCCATATCCCTATTCCATCCACCTGTGTTAACACCACTGTTATCTCCAAGTTGTTAACCTAAATATTACTACACCCATAGTCTCCCTATGCAAAGATGTAACAAAAAGACAGAAAATGGCATGGTATGATATCTTGCTTGGAGGAACTGGAACAGCTATGGGAGTTTTAAATTGAATAGATATGGAAGTATTAAAGAATACGTTAAGTACGGCAGGAAGACATTTAGGAGCAGGATTCCATGCCACTGCCACCTGGGCACCCACTGTTGTTGAATCACAGATTACAGGTCTACAACTGGAAGGTTTAATGTATAACTATTTAGGTAACCTCACTGTTGCAGCTGTTGATTTTACTACAGGAAGCAACAATTGGAGTATTTGTGCTGTAAAATGCTTATGGATGCAGCAACAAAGATTGGAATTAGAGAATATCTTAATGATACTTAAGACTGATACATTTAGAAAACTTCTAAATATGGATGAAACTCTGTGGTTAAATATGAAAACAGCAAGTAGTCTGTCTAGAGAATATTGTAAATAATGTCTCTCACTTTTCTTGTATAACACAATTGACCTTTTATCACGCTTTACCCAATGAGACCAAAATGGCATGCAAGTTTTTCACTTTACCAACGCCCATATTTTATATTACTTCTGACAGTTTGACCTGGAGAGTATATCTTCCCCAAAGGATAATAAGACGTATTAGAACAGTGTGTATGAACAAACAATGGCTATGCATGTAGACACTAATCTCCTATATATGAACCATGTCTTTTACTTTCTGAGATTAATAAATGTGTATGGAATGTGTACCCAGAGGACTATTTCTCTATGCTAGAATAGCACCTAGATTTGTATGTCTGGCTACCAATGTGCCAGTCGGAATAAATTCTGTAGATGATCACCTTCCTTTTTCAGGATGCATATCAAATCTTACATGGATCACTATTAATGGAATATCATATTATTTCCAAGACATATCTACCATTGATAGAACCATGATGTATATTCTTCCAAAATTGCCACTAGACGATTATCAGTTACCCATAGAAAATATAACTGCGTTGATAAAAGCTAGTTGGGATATGTTCAAACATCTTAGAACACATGAAAATGATATTACCCATACACTAGTTGCCACCCACGGTCTCAAGGGCGAACTATTGAAAGTTCACAAATCCAGGATGACTTGGCTCTTCACTGGTATGATATATTCACAGGTTGGTCCCCCACAGGTGCTCAATTTGTTAGACCATTCTTTTATCCATTGGTAATAGTTGTATTTGTAATGCTACTTATGATTCTGTACAATTCTTATCTTACCTGCACACTGAAAAATAAGATTCAAATGTTGATTACTACTGCTGAGGGCAAAGAGCTGGATACTCTCCTCCATGCTAGGTCATAAGGTATCATCCTGAGGGAACCGTGATGAAGAACTAACTAAAGTCCTGCAGGATTGACTAGCAATCCTGAACATACCTCATGGACTTCAACCTATGTATATAGATGTGATCGATAGATCAAAGAGGGGATTGAAGGGTTAAACCCAACACATTGTCTGTATTCATGCTGACTCTATTTTGTCACAAGACATACTTTTAACTAATTTCCTTTGAATCCTGTGATTCAGTATATGGGTCTAAGCTCATCATTGTTTTGCGATTTTTTTCCATCTGTTTGTAGCTTCCCTTCCCATGCTTTTAGATTTGAATAGGACATTCTCTTTGCACACAACCTGTATTTTATATAAGCAATTTAAATTCTGTCATTAAACAAGAAACCTTTGAATAGCTGACTTAGTGTGTGTCGACTCTGTGCTTTCAAGGTTCTCCTTCAATACTGAAGACAGAGCAGTGAATATTCCAAGTGGCGTGCAGTGGACGCTGAGATAGAGGAGAAAAACACTTCCAAGTGAGAAGGATCAATTAACCCTTTCAGTTGGTTCTTAGGTGCGCAAGTTTTCCGGGCATATGGGACAAGCATTTCTTATGTCATTTCTTGCCACAGTGTAAGCAAAGGCCTTCTTTTCTCCTGAACTGTTTCTCTGCTTCTGACAGTCTCATAACCCCTAACTGCATTGGTTCATGTTCAGATGGGACAACAGGATTGGAGAAGCGAGGTGCCAGTGACATATTCATACGTTTTTAGTTCTGTTTCTAGTTATTTCCCTGTTGTTAAGTTGGTTATCGATATGCATCACATAAGTGATGCATTAATTTAAATGATCACTATAGGGTCAGGAACCTACCACCATCTAGCCCCTCATGCCTCCATAAATATAGCACATTCTTACTGTATTCAAGCCTGAAGCTGTAACTCTGCATGCTGCATGCTGTTTGCCTCAGAAAAACAAGCAGTCTGCTGACATCAGCAGAAGTGGTGGCCTGATCCAATCACAATGCTTCTCCATAGGATTGGTTGAGACTGAAAAGGAGGCAGATCAGGGGCAGAGCCAGCATGATTCAAACACAGCCCTGGTCAATTAGTATCTCCTCATAGAGATGAATTGAATCAATGAATCTCTATGAGGAAAGTTCAGTGTCTGCATGCAGAGGGAGGAGACACTGAAAGTTTGGATGCATTTTAGGCAGCCATGACCCAGAAAGGATCTCTAACAGCCATCTGAGGAGTGGCCAGTGAAGTTATCACTAGGCTGTAATGTAAACACTGCATTTTCTCTGAAAAGACCGTGTTTACAGCAAAAAGCCCGAAGGTAATGATTCTACTCACCAGAACAAATTCAATAAGCTGTAGTTGTTCTGGTGACTATAGTGTCCCTTTAACCTCCCTGGTAGTTCTTTTGCAAGCAATTTCATCAAGGATAGCTTTGGATAATGATAAAGAAAACAGTATACACACTAAAGACAGAATAGTAATCTGCTAAATTGAAGGGATCCCAGGTGTACCTCATTAACACCCAAAGATAGAGACAACAAACAAAAGTGGGAACAACATCCAATAAGCGTACAAAAATTGGAATACCACCTGAAAAATAGACTCCAAGGCTGAAATATTCTATACAAGAATAGTGAATCTAGAATAATAAAAAATACATATCATAGCGTAACACAGTATAATGAATATAGGAAATGAGGTGCTTGTAGCAAACTCACAAACAGAAGTCGAAATCAGGCCTCTCACCCCCCAGGGGTATATATAGTATGGACTTGATAGTAGATTCTGGTAATAAGAATGTCTTCAAAGGAATGGATGAAAAGAACCATACATGGTGAAGTATGTTAAAGTACAAAATACGTTTATTAGATTATACTTACAGGCATATCTCCACTTCAAGTGGAACAAAACCGCAGCGTGGTGGAACTGGAAACCAGAAAAATTCCAACTCTGGCCACAGGCAAGTAAAAAAGTTAAAAAAAAATATAAAAAAACAAATCAAGAGTCCAATATCCCACGCGTTTCGTCCAAGTAGTATAAGGGACTTCTTCAGGAATATGTGGTAAATCTTTCAATGAAGGAGCTTCTTATCTCCGTAGTAATTCACCTTAACGCCGTTCACCGGCGGCGTGCGTTCCATCCTGGAATGCAATGACGTACTTCCTGTGACGTTCAGCAGGTAGCTGGCGCAAGCGTAGATCGAAACAGAGTTCCAAACATTGAAGCATAACCACCATAAAGCGTGCTATAATGCACGTAAAAGATCTATGCAGAAGAGAACAAATACACAATACAGGCGAACTGTTGCCATAAAAGTTTAAAGGGAAATGAACAGGACAATAAATGCAAAACCCCACATAAATTAGATGACAATAACAAAATGAAATAATACACTGAAAGGGTCTCCAAGTCATATGCATAAATAATGTAAAATATATATATATATGTATTAAGGCCGTTTGGCCTGTATTTGTGGCAGGGGCTTAAGTTAACTTACTCCCCTATATAAACTACACCTCTTACCTGACTCCT